TGAACTTACGCCTTCGATTGTCCTTGAAGCTTGATGTAATCCAGCAAGGAAGACCAAAGTCAAAAGTAATCCAGCAAGGAAAACAAAAGTCAAAAGTAATCCAGCAAGGAAAACAAAGTCAAAGGTAATTCCACAATGTTCTTGGTAATTCCATTGTGTTGATTATAATTCCATAACGTCTCGGTAATTCCATTGTAGCAATGCTTTAACCCCTTGGAAACAGTCTGTAATCCATTGGAAAAAGTCATATAATCCACAACGGTAAATCCACAACGATTGGAAGTGTTGATTAATCAGCATACAGAGGGGTACCCTTGGATTGAACTGAAGATACGGCCACTGGATGAAGAGCGGAGACCAACGTCAGGATTGCAGGTCGCCTCCAGCGAAGGTCGTCTCTGGGCGACGTCCAGTCGGTGCCGTTCTGGTTCAAATGTGACATGCAATTATGTGGTTTAAGATGGGCTTATGAAGGGGATTTTACATAAGGCCTTAAACTATATGCACCTGGTGTGTAAGCTATTATGGTTGGGAACAGCTATAACTACCAGTTAAGGGGTGGTTCATGCTGAAAAGGGTAACTACAGGGGTTTATACCTATAGAAAAGGGTTCCAAACTATTTTTCCATTTCTAACTTGGTTTAAGTTAGCTTTACATGGTAAAATATAGTTTGGTTCAATTGTCTGTTGTCTTTTAGACGAACGACTTGAGATTGGGTGTTTGGTTTCCCCATAAATGTTTTTGGAAGTCTATGGCGAGACTTATCAAAAAGAATTAGCTATCCCCCCGAATAGAATTGTTCGAGTAGGTTCGGCTTAAGCGTTGTGAGATCAATGTAGGTTATGGTACTTAAGGTAGCAATAATATACATTGACTCCGCAAAGATTGCAATTTAATGAATGAACTGCATGTTCGCATGGTTAAAGGCCTCTTAGTCTCTAATTTAACTACACAACAAAATTCATTCTTGCCTGGGGTGTTCAAAACAATACCAAAAACCAATTAAACGATGTCTCAACATCGACAAAAACAGTGACTAAGCAACCAGTTAACAACGTTTCAACATTGACAAAAGCAGTGATTAAGCAACTAGAAAACGACGTTTCGGTGCGCCACTCACTCTGGATGTCAGATTTGCTCACGTTATCGCGTCTGGTAGCATTATCCTAACTGGCGTCACCCCCCTTCGGTCATGGGAGACCGCGAACACGGGTGAGGACGTCGCTCCATGAGCTAAAGTTAGGCTGTCCTTGAGTAGTTTTAGCTGTTTGCGCAGCTGAAAGAGGACTTTTAGGTCTGGATTGGAATCCAGTTTACCTTTCGATGGGGTGTATTTGTCTGGGTCAGTCAGATACAGTATCATCGAGTTAATTGCAGGATCATCCAACTTCTGAAGTTGGATGATGTCTGCGTCAGTTGAAAATGACTTTTCATATTTGAAAAGAACTTGGCGAAGTTTGTCTCTTTCTTCATCAGATGTCAGAGTGTCGGCTTGGGCGACCACCTGTTCAATCTGTGATGAGACTGTTAAGGGTTCTTGCTCCATGGGGAGCTCCAACGAATCCTTTTCTGAGTCGTCGGACCTGTCTATGGGCAAGGCACCATAGGTTTGTGGTCCTTGGTCGACGTCATTAGTTGAGAAAAGAGCTGTGGCCTGTGATGGTTTCGTGAAACATACTGGCCCAGTGTCTTGACTCGGTACCAGATTATCTGGGAGTCCTCCCAGAACTGGAATGCCTAGTTCAAAATCATGAAAATCAGTTTCTGAGTTTTCAGTTTGCAATGACTCATCATCGTTTGTGTGTGAGTTTATCCCCCCTTCGTCCGATGAGGGGTTCTTGGAGGCAATAACAGCAATGTCTTGGTGTGTTTCACCGACATCTGTAATGTTGTCATTCGCGCCTTCAGAGTTAGTAGCGATCGCATCACTACATAGTGCTCCTGGTTGGATTCCCATCTCAGCGTGTATCTAAGTGTCTAAAAACCTTTGTATTTCCTCTGTCTCTTGCGAGCTCAGAGGTTTAGGGCCTTGTTCCTGGGACCTTTGTGATTTTATCGCCTCGGGACGTTTCGTCCGAGGTGGGGGAGGGTTAGGTACGTCTTTTGGGGGTTCCTCTTCGGATTTCCCCTGATAATATGGGTCCTCTTGGATCCCATATCCTTGCGTCCTACGCATGCCCCATATACGATAATCACGTTCATCCTCTGAAAGAGGAGCATTTTTGTCCCAGCGTGCACCTTCATTACGTGTTTTTTTAGTTTGAAAATACTGCCTTTTCTCGCCTGTTTTAGGAGGAGGTGGCGTCGCACGCCTTCCTTCCATTTCCAGGGAGTGGGGTTTAACCTTTATACCAGGAAACACCTCAATGGGCGTCTTATCATGAGAACATACCTCGAATACATTCACAGCACACTGTTTAATCTCATTTATGGATTTTTCTCTGAAATTTGCCATAATTTGTACTGACATGCGTATGTCAGTGTGGAGATTTTTGCTGAAAGCATATTTAAAATTTTCTTCTTCCTCCATTCCGGTTTCATTTCTGTAACCAAAATAAGCTTGGAAGATTCTTTTGTAATAAATCTTTGGATGTTCATTCTTTCCCTGCTTGACCTTGTCAGCGGCTGGGAAACCAGCAGGTCCCGTGCAGGGGTCGTACTCTCTGATCAAAGCTTCACACAGAAGGTTGTAATCCTTTCTCGTTGCATCAGGTAGACGCTCGATGAAGGTAAATACCTCTCTGTCCGAAGTGAGCCGTATCAGACTGATCTTATCCTCAACCGTAGCATTAGGATAATCCTTCAATCTGAATTCGAGATCTTTCAGGTACGCTTTTGTTCCAGTTGAACCCATCGGTCCAGGTACAAAGCGTTGTACATATTTTGAGAGTTTTAGCAGAACATCCATTGAAAGAGGAAGTTTCCATGCACTCTGTTGCATGTTTTGTGGAGGAGACCTGTTCAGGTCTGTTCCTACCGCCCGAGATGAGGGTGGATTAAGAGCAGGAGGTGCAACAACGTCTTTCTGAGGTGTTTGTGGGTGACCTGAACTCTGTCCACGGTCTTCTCTGAGTTCCAGACAAACTCGCCCCACGTCAGAAATCTTGTTTGTTGCTGCGGCCAGTTCCTCCTCACAAGCCTTCAGGCGTTCCTGCGATGACCGACATTCACGTCGTGAACGCACAACTTTTTCCAGTAATATCTGTTTATGCACTTCGAGTCTGTGCAGATCTTTTTTAAGCACATCTGTAGCATCCCTGGCTTCAGATAGTGATGCCTCGTGATAGTGATAGATAGTGACACGTATCTTCTGGCTGACTCTCCTTGGTGGAATCCATTTTGGGTGCGTTAGTGGTGCTGTGGGTGCACCCAGTTCAGTGACATATATTCTAGAATATACGTCATTGGTCCAGCTCTTCTTGAAGGGGGGTTTAACCGTTACCTGCCCACTTTGCAGTGATTCATTGGACCAACTCTCCTGTTACCATTGGTTACTTTCAAACTAACGAACAAACAAAAAAAGCACAACATGAATAAAACTTGTGACATAACGCATTATAGAAATGTACTGTAGTAGAAAGTACAGATACTTAATGTAAAATGTAGTGGAGTAAAAGTCGAAAGTATCCACCTTTAATTCTACTTAAGTCAAGCACAGATGCATGAAAAATGTACTTAAGTACAACAAAGTCCATGCTCATGCTCACTGTCCATGCTCACTGTACTTAAGTACAGTAACGAAGTACTTGTACTTAGTTACACCCCACCACTGAAATTGAGAGCATTGCCTTTTGACTCAACTCTTTCATCATCACGACTGACTGAAGCAACACCCTCAATACTGAGGATGAGGCACCAATTTGTCCATCCATCTCCCGCTCCATCCTACCATCACTTGTGAACAAGACGCCCAGATCCTTAAACTCCTCCCACTGAGACAAATACTGAGGCAAATAATTTGACAGGACAAAATGGACAAATTATTTTGAACTAAAAATCTAAAGACTTTTCCAAGTGGGTCAAAATCTGAAGTGACTCTAAAAACAACTTCAATCAATCAATCAATTTATTCACTCAATTCAACAAATTCTTCATCAATTTACAAACACATTTAATGTACACAATAAGATTAATCACACATCTTAACACATCTTAATCTAAAATCTATCTCAGTGGTTCATGACATCACTGTCAGGTTCACATTACATAGTTTACAAACAAAGCTAAAGCTAGCTGTCAGAATATTTCTGCCAGAAAACCTATGTAATGCAAAGCCGCTGATGTTGGAAACACATAAAATGACGTTTGTATAAACTCCAATAAAATTGGAGTTGTTTTAAGACATTAAAACACTTTTCTCTATTTTTGGACTAGCTGTTAGCTCATCAATCCTGTCAGAATTAAACCCCACAGAACCCAACTTCAAAAAAATTCTGAACTACCCCTTTAATGAACTGTAAAAACATTCAACTTAAAGGTTTACTGACAACAGTCCACCTTGTTCCTCATTGCACTCTGAGTTTTTATTTATTTTCTTTTTTGGTGGGGTGGGGGGGTTGTCAAAAGCCATAAGATAATCTAATCATCACTGACAGCTTATCAGCAATCATAAAGTAGATAAAAACAAATGACTTTGCCTCAGGAATTCAGGTCAAAACAAAATGTTAGTGTGATTAAAAAAAAACAGGGTGCCATTAAAAATAACTCACCATGACGAGGGAGGAGTCCTTTGGCTGATCTTTTTGTTGTCGGAGCCAGTTATGGAGCTGATGTTTCAGCTTTAGCTTGAATTAACTCTTAATTTTAAAGAAGTTACTTGTTTATCAGTTTACAACAGTTTGACAGAGGATTAGTTGAACACAAGGTTGTAGGTGATACGAAATGGAAGAGCCTTGCACCAGTTTGTCCCACTAAAGAGTAAGTAGGTGAGGCTCGTCTATGAATGATTTGCTTTATTCTGTTTTGTGTCTTTTTTTTTGTCCTCTGAGCTCTCAGTGTCTCTTGGCTCTGTTCCTTCTACATGTGCACACGTTGCAGTATAGTAATAAAATATATTTCCTTTATCAAAATAACTTTAGAGATGAATTTTTACAGTTGGTCAGAGTTTTATAGTGGATTCGCAATGGCTTTCAGAGAGGACGGCACTGGGCTTGATAATCTTGCATTTGATGTAAGTACATTTAATATTTAAAGAAAAAAATGCTTCTGCTTATCTTTCATTTTTATGTATTTTTATCAATACTGTTTGTATGGGTTATAACGTCACATTTATAGAACATCTCAGTAAAGAGTTACATTTTGATTTTGTTCATAATTATTGCAAGCTTTATGGATGCAGACTATGGTAATAATTACAAAAGATTGTGCCCAACATTTAGGCTGCCTCAATAAGGAACCCATGAACAATTATATTTCATCCTTCTCTCAACTTCACATTTTGTTAAGTAGTACAGTTCATTCTTTATTTGATTTGATTTGAAGAGGGTAATCGTTTGAAACGAAGGAAGTAATTTTGTGTAACTTTGTAAAAGTGTTGCAGGTGGAGGGTGTCTGGGGGTCCTCCCCCAGAATGCCATTTCCTGCATTCTGGTTTATTTTAATGTATGGGATGCCGTTTGTAAATTTAATGTACTTACATTAAAATATTTAACTTGCAAGTTAAATATTTAGCTAGCAAGTTAAATATTTAGGTCCGAGCTAAATATTTAGTTAGCAAATTAAATATTTATTTTGAAAATTAAATGGCAGCACGGTAGCGCAACTGATTGAGCTGCTGCCTCTCAGCGAGCAGGTCCCTGGTTCAAATCCCGGTCCGGAGGCCTTTCTGGGTGGAGTTTGCATGTTCTCTCCGTGCATGCGTGGGTTTTCTCTGGGTACTCCGGTTTCCTCCCGCAGACCAAAAAGAAATATTTAGGTCAGAGCTAAATATTTAGTTAGCAAATTAAATATTTAGTTTAGGAATTAAATGTTTAGCTTAGAAATTAAATGTTTAGTTTAGAAATTAAATATTTAGCTTGAACAATAAGTATTTAGTTTAGAAATTAAATTTTTAGTTTTTAAAATAAATATGTAGCTTGGAAATTAAACATTTAATTTACACTTAAATATTTAACTTGCAAGTTAAGTATTTAGTTTGTAAACTAAATATTTAGTGTGGAACTATGACATTTATAAATGTATGAATAACATGGTGAAAATATGACTGAAAAAAAAACATTTTTCTTATGAAAGGCTAAATAAACCAAAATATTGCTGTTACTTTTTGACTGTGTAACTTTACAAACGGCTCCCCATATTAACGGATTGTTAAACATCTACGTTTACCTACATTTGTAAACATTTGGTTCAATAACTATTTTAGGGAGCAACAACAACAACAGCTCTGTCCTTGTGTGAATTGAGCTTCTGTCAAACAGAGCTGGCACTCACCTCCACCACTTGCTCCTGCTCCAGTCTCCATCACCGCTGCCTTCAGGTGCTTCAGTTCTTAGTTGTCCAACTAAGGACAATGAGAAGACTTTTTTAAATGAAAGTAAAGTGGACTGTCTTTTTGACATTTTGATCGCTGTTATTTTGACAAATTATCACCATTCTTTTGATAAATAATGTAATATGAATAATACACATCAAACATTTATCTCCTTGTATTTTCAATAAATAATCACAATTGTATTAATGCCTTACTTAAACTATAAAACTGATTTGCAATTTTTTTTTGTGCTGTTTTATTATATTTTTTGAGTTTTTTTAATAAAAATGCACAACGACTTTGGACTTTTAGGGGCGGAGATTTTTTTAAGGGTAGAAGCAGAAATGCTTACTTGAAGGAGCAGCTCGTTTGTGATATTAAGAAGCTCGTAAGTGGCTGTTGTGTTTTCAATTAGTGTTTATGTAATTACTGTAGTTTCAGTTTACAGAAACAATATAAGTTTTATTTGTTCAAGGCTGTCGTATTTGTTCGTAACTTTATTATTCGTAAGCCTGAGAGTTATCGGATGCAAGCAAACAGTTACTGGAACACACCCTGTCAAAATAAGAGAGTTCCCGGATCTTGTTCCGGCAGGATCCAGCTCAAATTAAGCCCTGGTCTGTGTCAGTTTAATTCCTTGTATTCATCTTCCATTTGTGGTTTATGTTGTTTTTTCATGTCTTTTGAGATAATTGTGTATCACTTGTGTCAATTCAGTCTTCCCCAGTGTTTTTATCCTGCTCCTCCCACTCTCCCCTGATCCTGTCTCCCCAACTGATTGTCATTTCTTTCTCGTTAGTGTCCTTTTTAATTCAACCTCTGGTCTTTAGTCATTGTGCTGTATAAGCCATTCATTTGTTGCTCCTCCATGTCTTCCCGAGTTTATCAGTCCTGTGAGTATTTTGCTGCCACGCCAGCCTTTGTTTGCTAGTTTTGTAAATAAATGATGTATTTTTTTTTTTGCATTTCACCTTCAACCCTTTGAGTTTTGTCTGCACCTTGTGTTCTACACCACATTAAAACAGGACATATTTGCATTTTGAAAACCAACTTTTCAAGACTAGCCTTACCCTAGCGTTTTTTTTTTTTTTTGTGTGTCTGTCTCGAAGTTTAATGAAAAATAAAAAATTGTGCTGTGTTGAAACAACTAAAGTTGTGCTGTAGTGATAAAATGGAGCTAAAAAAATCAGTTGTTAGGAGAATATTTCTTTGGGGAAACTTTGTTGCCTTGTTTTAAAGAAAATGTTGGTGAAGTTAACTTGGTCCTGGGATGATTCACGAGTAACAAATTGACTGAACTGAAGATGACTTCTTGTCTTCCCTTGACTCATCACAATTTATTCTGCTTGTTTGTCTGTGACTTTAGATGAACATGTTTTTGTATGGCTCTGCAGGATGAGGAAGACAGTGATCAGCTCAAAACAAATGTACCGACAGATAAAACATGTGGGAGCAGTGGTGCGGCACAGACAGCCGTGAATCGACCTACTTACATCGTGACCGATGTCCCTCCTTGGTACCTTTGTATTTTCTTGGCCTTTCAGGTAGGTGCCACACATTTTATTGTTGTGAATGAGGTGATCTCTTTAAAAGAACTGATAATGTTTCGACAACTGTGTTGAACTCTTTTTACAACAGCACGATAAAAGTGGGTGAAGGAAGCTGTATAAGTTTGTTTAGTTATTAACATTTATTAGAGAGTGGTCAAGGGCAGTTAGAGAAAATCATTGATGAAAATCCATGACTCGTCACCTGGTGTATGAGGAAGCGTTAATTAAACAGTGATTTTAGGGAAGTCTGGGACAAAGACAAAACATGAAGTGCAATCAGTGAAGGATTCAATCCAAACACTGAGCTTTGCAACCTGACGTCACACATTCACAACAATCTTCTCCTTTGATGGCTAAATTAATTTTTAATAAATTTTACATTCAATGACACTTCAGCAGCACATTTCTGCTCACTGTACACACAAGCAGACCTTTTGTTTTCAACAACTGGCCACTTAAAGCCACGTGGGTCTATGGTCACTTAGTCACGCACACTCCGAAGTCAGTGAAATTGCCATGGAAATGTCTTTATTTTTGCAGTCCTCGTGATTTTGAGTCACTAACTTCAAATATTAGTTGGTTACTGACTTAAGTAACTTGTCAAATTTCTTATCATAACAAAAAAAAAACCATAATTTTAAATTACCATAAAGTCATCTACTTGCAGTTTTTTTTAATTTAATCTGTCCATCCAAAGAAAGCAGACAACGTAATAAGCATGGTAAAGACATAAAAGCATATTCTGTTGAATTAATATCGGTAAAGTCTTTTCTTGGTCCTCTTCTTTATAGCATTACCTGACAGCGTTTGGAGGCATCATCTCTATCCCTCTCGTTCTCTCAGAGGGCCTGTGTCTACAGCACGATAGCCTGACCCAGAGTCTGCTCATCAACACAATCTTCTTTGTCTCTGGCATTTGTACCATTCTGCAAGTTACCTTTGGTGTCAGGTGAGAATTGTATGGTCCAGAACACAAAACGGCTCACAGAGTGACAGGATTTATTTTATTATCTGAATCATGTCAAATCTGCACAAGGAAAGACACTTCTGTTACTTAACAGCCAGCAGTCAACATGTACCGTAATTTTCCATAACATAAGCCGCTACTTTTTTCACACGCTTTGAACAACGCGGCTTAAACTTTGCTACGGGTAATTTATGGATTTTTTTTTTGATTGGCTAACAAGTTTCATGCCGCCAAAACATTTAGCTTCGTCACACCCCGGCGCTCACAGAGCTGCCCAATGCATGTCTCTCTTGGGGGGGGGGGGTCCTCATGACTCAGTGAGACTACCTGTATAAATTAAAGGTTAAAAGAATCACACCAATGTAATTACCAAACAGGTCACAGTGGGCCAATGGTATGAGTTGCCATAAATCAAATGCACACACTAAATTCTTTACCTCAGTCGTTTTGCGCTTCATGCACAGACTCACGTCATGAAAAACACACGATGAAATGCAGATGATGCAGCTTTCAAGTTAAAGGTGATCGATCTGGCTGTCGAAGAAGGAAATAGAGCTGCTGCACGTAAGCTTGGCATCACTGAATCAGTGGTGAGACGTTGGAGATGTCAGCGTAAAGGACTGAGACGACAAAAGCTTTCAGAGGTAAAAGCAGCAGCTGGTCCGAACTTAAACATTCTTGAAGGCTAGGTGAACACAGAGCAGACGGCTGAGGTGTTTCCACCTCCACCAAAATGACGTTGAGAGCAACAACAAAAGTGAGACTGAGGATGAGTGTGATGAACTTTTTCTGAGGCTGTCATTGAAGAAGACAACGAGTTTTTGTACACAGGAGGAAGATGAAGATAGTGTTCAGTGACGTTGCCTGATAGGTTACTGTATTTTTTTGTTTAACCAGACGTGTTACAGGCACTGTTCAGAAAAAAACATTTACATGTACATATGTGTATGTTATCGTTCCGTGTTTAATTTTTATTTTTAATTGTGCAAATATCTCATGTTACAACGTGGACACCCACAGCTTGTAGAAAAGTACAGCCTATATATGTAAAAATAGGTTTTTAATTATTTTTAATTAATGAGCATGTCAAATTCGGGTGCGTTCAATAGTCCAGAAATTACGGTAGTCTAACTTTTAAAAGGATGGTAAGATTTATTTTGGCATTCAACGCATCCAGATGACGCCCCATGTTGCCTTGTAAAAAGTTAGTTCAACCCTGTGCTCTTTTCAGAACCATTTATCTGAGCATTACAGAACAGAATATCTGTGGACAATCCCCATGCTATCCTAAAAAATCCCAATGAGTTCAAATTTGATGCATCTGCTTGCCATGCAAGTTGTAATGTACAGTATGTTGTGCAAATGTCATTTTGGTTTAGACTGGTGACGTTAGATCAGGCAGCACGGTGGCGCAACTGGTAGAGCTGCTGCCTCTCAGCGAGCAGGTCTTTGGTTCAAACCCCGGTCCAGGGGCCTTTCTGGGTGGAGTTTGCATGTTCTCTCCGTGCATGCGTGGGTTTCCTCCGGGTGCTCCGGTTTCCTCCCACAGACCAAAAACATGCATGTTAGGCTGATTGGTAACTCTAAATTGTCCCTAGGTGTGAGTGAGAGAGTGAATGTTTGTTTGTGTCGTTTGTCTCTATGTGGCCCTGTGATGGACTTGTGACCTGTCCAGGGTGTACCCCGTCCCTCGCACAGTGATTGCTGGACATGGGCTCCAGCGACCCCCGTGACCCAAAATGGAATAAGCGGGTAAAGATAATGGATGGATGGATGGATGGATGGATGGATGGATGGATGGATGGATGGATGGATGGATGGATGGATGGATGGATGGATGGATGGATGGATGGACGTTAGATCAGCTTTTCTTTTGATTCCAACCTTCTTTACCCACCAATTACTGCACAGTTAATCCTGTTTAATCCCTCTGAAGCAGTGGAGGGAAATTTATTTTTCCAAAGAGCCGTAAAAAGAACCGAGACTTCTGTGGATGATCAGATCAACAGGCTATAGTAAATTCTGCCTAAGAGAAGTTTTACAGTGAACCATACATGTAGTTTTCATAAGATGCTAGAGCAGACATTGCAAGTGGGCCATGTATATCTGAACCAGTCATACTGAGCATTTACATTTTATATATTTAAATAAATTTGACTGATTTTGAAAGCCTTCTCAAATGTGGAACGTTTTACTCTTCTCACATCTTTGTTGTCCTCAGTCCACCAAACACTTTTTGGTAAACTATCAAGTAATGGCTTGGTGATTTATTTTTTAAGAGATTTTGTGAAATATCACACAGATAGTCTTGACTTCTTTATTTCTGGAAAAGTCGTTATTGGTGAAAAGGATCTTGTTTCTTTAGCAGTTTGGATCGTGAAGCTTCAGATATGTGTGCTCGCTCTGTAATTCTCTGCATGTGAAGTCCAATAATGTCTCAAGTGAAAGTGAATGGTTACTAAATACTCCACTTTGTCACTGACCTTAGTAAATAAATACTCAGAAGTTCAGATCTTGTTACAAAAAACGACCCTCAACATTCTTTATCAGTCTTTGGTTTTAACCGTAGCTAGCATCAAGGTAACTCCTAAAGTTTTGATAAACTCTTTTAGACAGTGGAAAGACTCTTGATGCTGAGCACACCGAGGCTGATAATGTGAACACAACACTCACCTTCAAAATAAAAGCATTGCAAAATCCATCCATTCAATATCTTTTGCCCGCTTCGTCCTTTTCGGGGTCATGGGTGTCACTGGTGCCACTGGTGCCACTGGTGCCCATATCCAGCCATCACTGTACGAGAGGTGGGGACACCCTGGACAGGTCTCCAGTCTATCACGGGGACACAAGACAAACAACCATTCACTGTCTCACTCTCACCTATGGACATTTTAGAGTTACCAATCAGCCTAACATGCAGGTTTTTGGTCTGTGGGTGGAAACCAAGTAAAACCCTCACATGCACAGAGAGAACATGCAAACTCCACCCAGAAAGGCTGGAATATGAACCATTGACCTTATAGCTGAGCGGCAACAGCTCTACCAATCATCATGCTGAAACACTGCAAAATCCAGTTTCAAAATGTTTTTTGGATATGTTTGGAATAATTCAGGTATGAGTTCAGATTGTTCATTGACCTTATGTGAACTGGACTGGGACAACTAAAAAGCTGAAAGTAGCTACAAAATCCCCGAGCTTGCTTTAGATCATTCCGTTAGCCCTTTAGGTAGGTGGACAAAGAGTTAGAAGTATAAAGTTTCCAATATTACATTGTATTTCTAACATCTGTGCATGTGTGACTCAAACACGGCAGCAGCTCACACTGGATGTAGTCAGTAGCAGATCTAAAAAAGTTAAATCTGGTCCTCTGGACATTCAAAAAAAACAAAACAAAGCAAAACAACAAAAAAATGTAGAAACGTTTCGTCTCTCATCCGAGAGACTTCCTCAGTCTGAGGTGCTGTTTTCAGCTCAGTCTCTTAAATAGCACCTTCTCAGAGTGGATCAACCAGTTTTGCTGCTGACAACCAAAACCAGCTGATCACATGCTCAAGAAGGACCATCAGCCTAACAATGGATCATTAGCACACTGATGGCTGTTTACTGTTCACAGAGGGCTGAGTGATACTAGCAATCACAGCATTGTAAGAGGGGGACAGTTGAACCCGGAGGCCTCCACCCCTGTTTAATGATGGACGATTTCATTTCACAAAGATGGCCTCCTTTACTCCTCTCTCAAACCATCGTTCCTCTCTGTCCAGGATGTGAACATCTTCATCCCTGAAAGAGTGACCGCTGGCCTGGAGATGAGTGTAGACCACAGAGTCCTGGCCTGATGATGTTGATCTTCTGTGCTGGGCCATCCTTTTGGCCAGTGGCTGTTTAGTTTCCCCGATGTAAGACTGATCACAGCCCTCCTGACACTGAACAGCATACACAACATTACTCTGTTTGTGCCGGGGGACTGGATCTTTGGGATGAACCAGTTTTTGCCGTAATGTGTTTTGGGGTTTAAAAGCCACTGGGACGTTATGTTTAGAAAATAAACGTCTCAGTTTCTCTGATACTCCCTCAACATACGGAATGACCACTGGTCTGGGTCTGGGTTCCTCCTTTTCACCTGTTGGCTGACTGGAGTCCTGTTTGGGTTTCTTCTCTGCTTTCAGGAAGGCCCAGTTAGGACCTCTGACTGAGGAAGTCTCTTGGATGAGAGACGAAACGTTTCTATATTTTTTTGTTGTTTTGCTTTGTTTTGTTTTTTTTTGAATGTCCAGATGACCAGATTTAACTTTTTTAGATTTTTCTACCTGGATTATTGAGCATGCATCAGGATATCAGTAGCAGATGTTTGCTAAATGTTAGCATATTGGTATTGTTATGCGTATTCTCGAACTCAGACCACCAGAACACATCACAAAGCAACAGTTTTGGAAAGGATTTCACTACAGTTTACCTTAAAAATAAGATGGCAATTAGAAACTAGACATCTACTCTACAGTATCCATAGCCTTTGTTAAATGTTTTGTTGCTGTCACACTTGAAGGCTTCCCATCCTGCAGGGAGGTACCTTTGCCTTAATGACCCCAGCCATGGCTGTGCTGTCCATGCCAGAGTGGAAGTGCCCTGCTTGGACCCAGAATGCCAGTTTGGTCAACACCTCTTCACCTCTCTTTATAGAAGTTTGGCAAACCCGCATGAGAATGGTGAGTCAACTCGAACGCAGAATTCCGCAAACAAAGACATGAACAGCACTTCTATAAAGGTCACTATAAATTCAATCTATGTTTGTGGTTCCCGTTTTAGGAACAACATGACGATTGCAACAGTGAAACATTTAGGAAAAATGGTTTGTTGTGCTTTATTTTTGTCCACAGTTGCAGGGTTCTATCATGGTGGCCTCTGTCCTCCAGATTCTTGTTGGTTTCTCCGGCCTCATTGGCTTCCTCATGCGCTTTATTGGTCCCTTAACCATTGCACCTACAATCTCGCTAATTGGTTTGTCCCTGTACAACTCAGCTGGAGACAAGGCTGGTAGCCACTGGGGCATCTCTGCTATGTAGGTAACCATTTTGAAGAGCAGACCTAAATCTCAGGAGATCACAGAATAAAATTATAATAAAAGTGAAGTTTTCACTCATAGAGCTGTGTTTTCACTGGTTATGGTGTCTAATTTACATGCTATTATGCTTTTCTGTCATGCCAACAGGACCACAGTACTGATTGTCCTGTTCTCTCAGTATCTTCGTCTCATACCGATCCCTGTTCCTGCATACAACCAAACCAAGAAACTCCACACATCGAAGTTCTTCATCTTCCAAACAATGCCTGTATGAAATCATATTCTTTTAGTCACATACTGTGTAGTATATACTGTCATTCCATTTTATTGATGCAACATGTTTTTAAATACTCTAATCCATACTAATATTAAATGTTGATTAGATTCTGCTGGGCATTGCTGTCTCGTGGTTAGTCTGTTACCTCCTCACCATCTTTGACGTCCTGCCATCGGATTCTACTCAATATGGACATCTGGCTCGTACTGACGTCAAGCGTAGTGTCGTGAGCAAAGCTTCCTGGTTCACACTCCCTTATCCTGGTATGTAAGTTCACAAAACACAGTGCAGAAAGATTTATCAAATGATTATTCGGCGATAAAGTAGTTTAATTCCTCGTGCAGGTCAGTGGGGGATTCCAGCGGTGAACCTTGCAGCTGTGGTTGGCATTCTGGCTGGAATAATATGCTCCATGGCAGAATCTGTGGGAGACTACCATGCGTGTGCCAGGCTGTCAGGAGCTCCCCCTCCTCCAAAGCACGCCATCAGTCGGGGCATTGGCATCGAAGGGCTCGGCTCTTTGTTGGCAGGGGCTTTTGGCACAGGCAATGGCACCACCTCTTTTAGTGAGAATGTGGCTGCGCTTGGTATCACCAAAGTACGATGAATGCACATAAAAGTGATTGTTCATATCCTTCGAAGTGGGGTTCTGTGGAAAAGTTATAAACAAACAATATGCTAGACAACGCAGAACAACTCCGTTTGTAGAAATCGAGTTTCATTCTGACCGGACTGATGAGCTGATGTAGTTATTCTCAAATTTGGAACTCCCATCAGCCAAACTGAAGAGCAAGTTAATCCAGCATTGAGACAATCCAACGTAGTGTATGTTTAATACGTTAAAAAGTGTTTTGTCTTATTAATAACAGTCACAATGCCATTTGGCACACTACGTGGCTTGGTATTTTAACTGTTTTATCTCCATTTTGATTTTGTACTGTCTTCTTGCCTTTAAGTTCAGTTTATTTAATATTTTCATTACTGTGTGAAAACACTGGCATTGTATTTGTTGAGGCATGATGAGTAGTCTTGTTAAGCTTTACTTAAAATAGCTTTTGAAACAACACACATTGCACATTATGCTTAACTATCAAAGGTTAGTGGGTAGGTTCATAATTTCACGTTTATTGTTCTCAGTTTCATATTACGCTGTTATTTACATAAAATTTTTTGGTGTATGCTAGTGTAAACAGTGACTGGTAGCAGCTAGCTGTTGCACTTCCTGTACAGCCTGGGAAACTTCCAGCAGGAATGTCACAGTATTTTAATACTCTGATGACAGTCTGTAAAATGGAATTTGCTCATTTCTCAAAAAACCATTAACAACAGAGAGGTTCTTATTTGTTCATAACTTTTCCACGGTCAAAAACATGTAAAATTTATTTTATTTCTCTTCCAGTGTGGCATCTGGAGAAACTTACTTTATGTATAAATTTGTGCTGTTTTTATTTTGCACAAAGCAGTTTTAAAACAAGTTGTTTACTTGATCATGCATAACCTGGTGTTTGAATGTTGACAGGTGGGTAGCCGAGTTGTGATTCTTCTGAGTGGATGTATCATGGTTTTGATGGGGATGTTGGGCAAAATCGGAGCCATCTTCACAACCATTCCCACACCTGTAGTGGGAGGGATGTTTCTCATCATGTTTGGAGTCATTACTGCTGCAGGAATTTCCAATTTGCAGGTTTAAAAACAATGGCTTGTTCAGTTTTTGTCATTCAAAATGACATTTTTGTTAAGTGTGACGATTTTGTTGACCCAGTTCACAGACATGAATTCTTCCCGGAATATCTTTGTGTTTGGTTTCTCCATGTTTTTGGCACTCGTCATTCCAAACTGGATTGTGAAGAATCCTGAGTTTTTAAAAACAGGTATGACTTACACATGAGAAACAAGAACCATCACCTCTTTTACATAACTCGCTCTACCACTGTTTTTCATTTAAAGCATATAGGAACAAAGATTTCAGACTTATGTTGTCATATTTGACATTTCAATTTCTTGTCCTTTGTGACTGACTCAGGTGTTGAAGAGGTGGACCAAGTGCTGCATGTGTTGCTGACCACACATATGTTCGTAGGAGGGTTTCTTGGGTTCTTCTTGGACAGCACAATTCCTGGTAAGCTGCAGTGGAGAGTCACTACTGAGCCAAAGAAACCTTTTTTTTTTTTCTCATTTTGACTTTCGGGTTAAAAATTATTAATTTCCATGATGAATCAGAATGCATAAAAGTGGAAAGCGACAATTTCACAGAACCTCTTGATATTCAAATAGCTCAGTTTTACTGTTTAGTTCTTAATACTGTCCTTGTTTTCTATTGTTTGCATTCTGTATAAAGTGTTACTGCAAAGAAAAGTGCTCATCTATAGCCTTTCTCGATACTGTTCAGGAACTAAACATGAACGAGGACTTCATGCCTGGGACAAACCACAAGTCGAAGACTCCAGTACCTCCTTGGCATCTGAAGTGGTTTACAACCTCCCATTTGGTATATCTTCTTGCCTCCAGACCCAGTCATGGATTCGTTACGTCCCTTTTTGCCCAAAGAAAAGTCACGTATCCCAGGATAAGTCAGAAGACACAACACAGAGTGGAGGAAGTGAGCTCAGCACACGAGTCTGAACTTTCAAAATGTAACATCCCATTTTATTTTCATTAGGTCACAAGTGTCTCATGACACACAAATGACACACTTGCAAGTAATGACACACTTGTGGCACACTTGTGTCATGAGACACATTCATGACAGCACACCAGTGAGTTTGCTGGTCTGCTACTCTCGCTTTTCATCTTCCTTCCGTGCGTTTGTCGTATTTCCAAAATACTGTACCGCAATTTTATTTTACACTTCTTGCAAACAGACGTGCTCTTGTCAAGTTCTGTCTTTCCCGGAACATTGTAGAATCTGAAATGACTTTACACCGACTTTAAATGACGAAGGGACGAGAGGAATGATGCTGTCTTCCCACTCCATGCTAGCAGTCTCCATCCATCCATTATCTTTACCCGCTTCTTCCTTTTTTTTTTGTGTGTCACAAGGGTCACTGGCACCCATGTCCAGCCATCACTGTGCAAGAGGCGGGGGACACCAAGGACAGGTCGCAAGTCCATCACAAGGACACATAGAGACAAATGAGACAAACAACCATTCACTCTCTCACTCACACCTAGGGACAGTTTATAGTTACCAATCAGCCTAACATGCATGTTTTTAGTCTGTGGGAGGAAACCGGAGTACCCGGAGAAAACCCATGCATGCACGGAGAGAACGTGCAGATCCCCGGCCGGGATTTGAACCAGGGTAACCCGTTCAGTGAGAGGTGGCACTTCTATCAACTGCGCCACCGTGTTGCCTGCTAGCAGACTCCATTCAGATAAAGGGACCTGACTAACTAACTTGCTGTACGGTGGCCTACAAGGCCATATTCTGCAGTGATGGGTGGGCACGTAATGCGGTATGCAGCACGCTCAGGAGTAGGAGCGGAAAAAAACAAAACTTAAAAAGCATTTTAAAATTGATTTATGGGCCTTTAGAATCGATTCAGAATAGTCAGGACTAGAAATCTAGATCCTTTAATGAATCGATTTGTACAAATATTTGGGTATTTTAGTCGATTTGCATCTCTCTTTTAAGCCATCCATCCATTACCTTTTACCCGCTTCTTCCATTTTGGGTCACGGGGGTCGCCGGTGCCCATGTCCGGCAATCACTGTGCGATGGGCAGGGTACACCCTGGAACCATTCACTCTCTCACTCACACCTAGGGACAATTTAGAGTTACCAATCAATCTAACATTTGATTTGCATTTCTCTTTTAAGCCTCATGTTGAAAACTTGATAAAGAAATTGAAAGTAAAACTTGGTTTCTTTTTCAGAAACAGATCCTGTCTAACTCTGAATGCTAGAAAACACCTTGTAACTGTGACTTTCTTTCCCTCCATTGATTACGGTGACATTATTTACATGAACGCTCCTACAAGAACCCTGCAGATGTTGGATGCTGTCTATCATGGTGCACTAAGATTCATAACTGGCTGTGATTATTGTACCCACCACTGCACCCTGTATTCACTGGTTAACTGGACATCATTAACTTCATGCAGACTCTCTCACTGGTACGTTTTCATCTTTAAATCACTTCTTGGTCTGCTGCCTTCATACATCTCCTCCTACATGTCTCTGCGTGAGTGCAGCTACAGCGTGCGCTCTCAGGACATTATTACCTGCAGTGTTCCCTCAGTGAGGACTGAACTAGACAAAAGGGCCTTCTTCTACTCCGCTCCTGTTTCCTGGAATATTTTGCAAAAAGACCAGAAGCTCTCGACCTTGACCTCTCTAAGGGATTTTAAACATCTGCTAAGTTCATGGCAAAAACCAACGCAGACATGTTCCTTTTTTTAGTATTTTACACCGCTTTATAATGTAGCTGTTTTTTGTTTAGTTTTTATCATTTCTTCAATTGACTTTTTCAGTTTATATGCTTTTTATATGATTTGTCTACTGTTGTCTGTACCTCATCTGTGTTCTTTCTTTAAAACAGGTCTCTCTTGTAAATGAGTCATTGTGGCTCAGAGACTAATGTGTATAAATAAAGGTTGAATGAATGAGAAAATAAAAATAGACAACTCTCCATTTGTAATCGTTACACTGGCTGATATTTATTGAGCAACATTTTCAGATTTTCTGGAAGTGCAATCCTATGGAAATGTTATGAATAATTAATATCTCACCTGTCATAGATAGTGTTGTGAACAATCTCAGTTTGTGGAAGTAGACTTTAAGTCTAATGTCCAACATTTTTCAGTCAGGTCATCTGGACAGTTTCTTTTTTTTTTGTGCTGAAACGTTTCACCTTCGATCCAGAAAGCTTCATCAGTCAAGGAAACACAACAAAACTGATTTTTCCTCCAACAACTTACTCCAAAGTGGAGTTTGGAAAGTTTGTTGTTTTCAACCAGTTTGACAAGACTGTCAACAAGGAAGAGGGCCGGCAATGGAGGAGGGGCGTACCAAAGAGACCATCTTATCACAAACAGAACTGGTTTGTTCCACTTTGGTGTAAGCTGTTGGAAGAAGAATCAGTTTTGTTGTGTGTTTCCTTGACTGATGAAGCTTTCTGGATCGAAGGCGAAACGTTTCAGCACAAAAAAAAAAAGAAACTGTCCAGATGACCTGACTGAAAAATGTTGGATTGTATACCTGGATTATTGAGCATGGACTTTGTTGTTTAAGTCTAATGGTTAGTGTAAGTGTGGCTAAAGATAGTATCTCATTGAGCTGCAGCTTTTGGAGTTTAGCTGGCAACTTAAAATTTTAGTAAAAACAGAGAAAATATAAAAGTTTTCTGTTTCTGTGAGTCTCACAGAATTTAGAAATGTTGTAACTCAACAAATAACCATTGGGAAGCTGGATTTTTCTAGGCCTTTTTTTATATAAAGAAAAGCAATGTCTAACTTTGTGTGTATGTCTTGTAAAACTGTACATAATATTTTGTTGCCCACATCGTACCCATCTCTGTTCACTTTTTACTTTGTACCCGGCTTGGCAGCCTCCCCCACATTCACGATTTAATTAACTGTATGTAGTACATTATTGAAATGAAAATGGGGGAGGAGGCGCAGAGATTAGAGGTAAACTTGTGATTTTAAGGTTGCCAGTTCAAATCCCCCGTTAACTGTTACATCAAAATAATGATTGTCTATTGTCTGTACCACATCTGTGTTCTTTATTAAAATCAGGTATCTCTTGTAAATGAGTCCTCGAGGCTCAATGAGACTAACCTGTATAAATAAATGTTGAATGAATGAATGAATGAATGAATGGGTGGAAAAGGTGAAGCACCCACACCTACCTCCACCCTCATTTGCAATCTGCTCCTCCATGCACGCTAGATAGCAGCTCTCTGCTCCACACAGAGGGTTGTGGTAGCTCAGTGGTCTGCTGTTGTGTCAGGAAGGACATCCAGGAGTTTAAAAAACACAAGTGTCAAATCTTTTTGTGGTTTGTTTGCTGTGGCAACCCCTGAGGAAGGAGCAGACAAAATTCATTTTGAAATAGAAATAGGCATGTTTGGGGCATTTTTGGAAACTTTTTTTTTTGTAATTTTTTATAACTTTTCGACCTACACACTTGGGGCAGTAGTCTTGGATGTTTTCCTTCATAGTAAAACTTACTCACTTTAACTTTATGCTTTATTTCTTTAAAGTAGGATACTTGATTTTTCCACAATTAAAAAAAAACCATCACTAGAACTGCATACTTCATTGTTTAAATTATTTTTAAAATTTGCTAAAAACTATAAAAAAATAAATCCTTCATTACACTAGTCCAGTCTTTTCTTTTGTCTTAAAATGCGAAAGTATCAACAAGTGCTAAAGTCAGATATTTAGTTTTAATTAATTAAATTTGGCCACTCCTGGCAGGAACCAGAGAAGCTAGCTGGTTTTGTCCCCTAACATAGTTGTTGCTTGATCTCCTCTTGTTGTTTTTAATTATTTATTGATCTTTTTAATACTCTGGTTTTTTATCTGGTGTGTTTTTATCTTGTTGTTTGTAACGCCGTATGTCCCACCACGTTCTCTCAGATCAGCAGACCAGTTACTCCTCACAGTCCCAGGAACCCGTCTCAAGCGCAGAGGTGACAGGGCCTTCTCTGTAGCAGGCCCAAGACTTTGGAATGAGTTACCTCTGCTCGTTAGACAGGCCCCCTCCCTCACAGTTTTTAAATCTCGCTTAAAAACACACTTCTATTCCCTGGCTTTCTGCTCTGTGTGATCTGTGCTGAGTCTGTGTGCATCACACTGTGTTGGTCATGTTGCAGTTGTTGTTGTTATCCATTACTGTTTTTGTCAGTTTCTACTTTTTGGTGTCCTGTTATGTAATCTGTTGCTATGTGCTTGTTCTGTTTGTCCTTGTCTGTACAGCACTTTGGTGTGCTTTGTCACTGTTTAAAGTGCTTTATAAATAAATTGGTATGGTATGGTATGAATGAGATCTATCTATCTATCTATCTATCTATCTATCTATCTATCTATCTATC